ATATTTTTTAATGTTTTACCTGATCAGTGTGATTTGAAACTTGACGATATCACAGATTAGTTGTTTTTTTGTGCTTCTTTAATGGGTTACTTTGTTTTGTAATTATGCGACCTCTCCGTTTCGGCGAGGTTTTCGGTTTTATTGAATTATCACCATTCGACCCAAAAAAAAAATCTCTTTCTTTGGGCCTAATTGTTAGTAGAAAGCCCGAACTTGATTCGAAATCCGATACCCCACAAAAGGAAAATTTTAAAAAATAAATTAAAAAGGGTCAAATGACACTCACTTTTAATTTTTCAAGGTTTCACTTTCATACATACTGTAGTTCTGGTAATGATTTGTAGTTTCCTTAAGCTTGCAATCAACTCCAATCAGCTATTTCTCAAAAAAGATTAGGTGAAAGGCATTGTATGGGTAAATAAACATTTTTTTTGTCGATTGAAAGCACGTAAAAGTGCTAAGCACATCATCTTTTTATACACCCACCATTTGTGTTATCAGGTTCCAAATTGTGACTTTTGAAGCCAATCAAATGATTGCAGAAACCACTGTGGATATTAAGAAAGGTTCCTCTCAGTTTGTGGTCCCTTAGCATTTGATGCCATTGCAAGGCCTCTCTTCTCTTCTCTTCTCTTCTCTTCTCTTCTCTTCTATTGTGTTGAGGGCAGAGCAGAGTCAGGTCCACACATGGATCCCATTGAATTCTATTTCGAATACAAAATGGATTTGCGGAAATTGTCCCAGTATATATAATCACCCTCTTCTACTCTGTTGCCAACCCCAACATACATTACATATATACTTTATGAAAATGGAGAGTCCTATTCGCATTCTTCACTTGTACTTGTGGTCTGTGCCGACAAAGTGTAAATAACATTGCCTCAATAGCAGATATTATTTGCAGTCACTAGGGTTGGGCTTTCTATAGAAAAATTGACCGGCGTGATTTGAGTCTTTGTTTTTTTTCTTCGTAATTTATCACTCTTACTTTAAAACGGCAATAATTTAATGACTTATCTATTTTTATTGTGCTTCTTCACATATCAAATATATCAAACTGTAGCTTTCAATGAACCGACTTACTCAATGAGAGCTCATCTCTAATCGGTGTTGATTCAACGATTCTTTTTATCAATATGGATGGTTGGTTGAACCAATCTGGCCATTCTCGGCACTCTCCAGGTTTTAGGTTTGATAAGCTTCGGATAAGTGAATTCTTAACCAAAATAAAAGAAGGGATTAAGGTCGATCCCCGTCCATGGGAATGGAGCGCATTTCATGACCAGCCGTTTACCTTCATTGGGAGAGCTCCCGCGGCGAAAGGGATTAGTCATTGCTGTCGGCGATGGATACCCTTGGATCTCACCTAAAAAAAAGAAGGGATTAAGGTTATGAGAATTTGACTGTTAAAAGAATCTTACAAGTTTGTTGGTATATATAATCCACGTAAATTTGTTGTGATATGCCAAGAACGACTTTATCCATTAATGAGAACATACAATGAGGGCCCTATGGAGTTAGAACTCAACTAGGCATCTTCAGATTGGCTCGACATGGTAGGCAAGTTTTTTAGATGATGATCGGGCAAATCACGAACAGTTTTGATTTGACCTCTCAGCGAGCATCAATGACCCAAATATATGGTTCCACTATAACTCTAGGACACGTGCCTGGACAAGTCCAACTGTCATGGGCCTCAGCCAAATTTTCAGTTCCATCCACCAGCCCAAATTTTGACCTCCCGACAGCTTCGATACTTTTTCTACTTTGAACCAGCCTGTTTGTTTACTAGCTCAAGTTCTCAACTCAAATGTACAAACAGGTGTTACTTTCTTTTTTGAGTAAATTCTACGAGTTGTCCCCACACCTGAAGAGTGGGGGGTTCGGTTTGCTCCTGGCCATAAAGTGCTTCCAATGGGTTTTGAACCCCTGTCATTAAGGCACCAGGTAGCTCGCCAATTGGAGGTGGCAATTTGCTAACCGCACAACAGATGTTACTTTTGACCAAAAATAAAACACATACTTGTTACTGAATCATAAAAGACAGAATGTCGATCTTGACTAAATATACAATAAAATCAATGGTGAATCATAAAAGACAGAATGTCGATCTTATATACAATAAAATCTAGGCTTATTATCACAAAGCGTCCCTGACGTTTGCGAAACTATCACATTGCATCCTTAAAGTTTTTTTGTATCACTCATGGTCCCTAACGTTAATATAAGTGCTCTCAAATAGTCCTTCTGTTAAAAAAAATGTTAAGTCTAGGGATATAATCGTCAAATCAATCCAAAATTATAAAATATATATATATATATAAGTTTCTCTCTCCCCTCTTTCTTTTTTGTTGCCTTTCCTTCTCTCTTCTCTCTCTCTCTCCCTTTCTTTTTTTCTTTTTTCTTCCTCTCCCCGAGTGCAGGCTTCTCTCTCATCTTTCTTTTTTATTTCATTCCCTTCTCTCTTTCTTTCTTCTTCTTTTTTCTCTCTTTCTTTTCTTCTTCTTCTTACTCTCACCGAGTTCACTCTTCTCTCTCTCTCTCTGTCTTTCTTTTTTTCTTCTTTCTCTCTCTCTTTCTCTCTCGCTATTTGACCCAGCTCCAACCGAAGAATCTATGAAATGGGTTTTGGTCCACTTGGCCCTGGAGCTTGTAGGAATGTGATTATTATATACAATAAAATGACAGAATGTCGGGTTCGGTTTGCTCCTGGCCATAAAGTGCTTTCAATGGGTTTTGAACCCCTGTCATTAAGGCACCAGGTAGCTCGCCAATTGGAGGTGGCAGTTTGCTAACCGCACAACAGATGTTACTTTTGACCAAAAATAAAACACATACTTGTTACTGAATCATAAAAGACAGAATGTCGATCTTGACTAAATATACAATAAAATCAATGGTGAATCATAAAAGACAGAATGTCAATCTTATATACAATAAAATCTATAGTGAATCATAAAAGACAGGATGTCGATCTTGACTACATATACAATAAAATCTATAGTGAATCATAAAAGACAGGATGTCGATCTTGACTACATATACAATAAAATCAATGGTTTTTTTTTTCTTTCTTCAATGGGATTTTTGTTGTTGTCAAATTCTAATCTTATTAAAGAAACCCAGAATAAGCATATTGTAAAGCAAGTCACAAAAGTTGGGTAGAAGTAGCTAGACCTCAAAACCAAGGCTAGAACCAAGCTTCTCACCCAGACGAGTTCAAAAACTAAACAATAACAATGGAGTTATGTTAGAATTTCTTCGATTATTAAAAAGAGAAATATCATTATATTAAGAGCTAATTCAACACTTAATTAATCGTTTAATTCTTTGTTTTGAGAACATAACATATCGCGTATGTTGAACAAGAAAACATACCTAAAATTGTGGTTTAGTTAAACTTGTAATATATGATAACTTTTCCTCATTAGGGTTAGTGTTATTGAATGAAATAACTTTTTGCAGAAGATTCTGTTTTAATTTATGTTTGTTTACCAGGAAAGATACCTAAGCATGTTAAGGAATATCACCTCCAAAAAGAGTGACCGAGTGAGGACGAGACACATTTAGCTCAACAATTAATCTTCAACAATATCATTTGCCCCCCATTTCACTCCAAAAACCAACCAACACTATAAAATAAATTGCAACAGTCACCATTATTTGATGATACTAAGTGCAAAAACAAATATAATTAGCTGAGCATTTTACATCGCGTGGCCTAACGACAGAAGCTTGAACGTCAGCAGGAAAAGAAGCCCAGCTAGATACCATGGGTGACGACGAGTGTGTTGTTTGGCAGTGTCATCAAGTCACGCTGGGTTACGTGGATGCCCAGCTTGGGTCATGCACTCCACTAGCCATTCTTTAATGTGATTCTTTGAAAAGACCAAACAACATAAGGCCCGGTAACGTTTTTGGATAATTTTTTTTAGAATTTTTTTAGAAAATAAAAACAAGAAAACGAATTTACATTTTCATGAATCGTCTGGTAGATTAATTAGAAAACATCATGAATTAAATTCAACTATGATGTGTTTACTAATCAAGAATTGGAATTCTTATCATGAATTGAATTCCACCTATGAAGGATTCCTGTGTTTACTTCACATCAAGCAATTAAAAAGTAAGTGGGGCCCACACAAAATTAGGAATTGAATTCCTAATTTTGGAGGAATTCAATTCTTGGGTGAGAAGTGGTATTCCAATTCCTAGAGAACTAACCCATCAAGAATTCATCTTTTTTACCCATTATATCCTCATACAAATTTTAAAATTCCAAATTTGCTAATTACTTTAACCCAACAACGAGGACATTTTAGTAATTAGTACTACTTCTACCTCAATTCCATATGATTTAGTAAACAACTTCAATAAGAATTTGAAATCTAACTCCCCTCAATCCATATGGTTTAGTAAACAACTTAATAGGAATTCGGAATCTAATTCTCCTTGATCCAACTCCTCCTCACTTCAATTCCTCATAATCCAATTATGGATTAGTAAACATGCCATAAATGAAGTAAACACATAAATGACCCTTAACACACTTAACGATATAACATAAAAGGAACAATCTCACACAAGTTTTTCTCTTCTCAAGTACATATCCTTATTTGTCAAAGATCCTAGTTAATTTGCTTATGAACTTTCACATAATATGTTTAGAAAGTTTCATTCTTTCTAATGTTACATCCAACATTACAAAGACATTCACACGAAAGATAAACACACACTCCAAACCTTTTCTTTCCTTTTTTTATTTTTACTTAATGATTAAAATGGAGCACACGCTTTTGCAATCCCATGTGGGTTGCTTTCCAGCCATCCCCACACACACATACTCCAATCATAAAAAATAAAGAAAAAAAAAATATAACTAATTTAAGCGCCTCTTTACCTCCTTAGCAAAGCAAAGCACAAAAAAAAAAAAAAAAAAAAGAAAAGGAAAAAGCCTCTTTAGGCTCGCTGATGCTTAGCCAAATTTTATTTTGACTTGTGCTCGAAACAAATATATATTTTATAACCTGAGCTTTTACTCTTCATTGGTTCTACTTCTACACAAGTTGTGGTTGTGGCCCTTCTGGGTAGTTGAAATCTTGGACTTTAAAGGTAAGTTTTTTATTTTCTTTTTCTTTTTCTTTGCGCCGAATTTTCTCGTAGCGTGTGTTTGAGGCAACTTCTATGCAGATTTATTATGGTGTGTGAAATTCAGTAAGAAAAGAAAAAGAAGCACTTTTGTTGGGTTCTAAATTTTCTTGTAGAGTTGGTACTTATTTTTTTTATTGTGGGATTTATTTATAGTGGAAAACTGAGAGATTCTAGAGCTGTGAGGCTATGATCAGTCCAGGTTTAGTTGTTGTGGGGATGTGAAATTCAAGGCAAAGATGACATCTTTCAGTGGATTAGGTATTGGTTTGAGCATAGTTTTCGGGTGCCTCCTCTTGGCACTTGTTGCAGAGCTTTACTACTTGCTATGGTGGAAGAAGAGAATCACCAACAGAGAGATTGAAGAAGATTACAGCAACCATGCAAAGGAGCTCTTTCAATTTAGTTGCTGGAAAAAACCTTCTTGTTTGCAGACCAACAGTAACTCTCAGGAGAATGTCAGAGAACCAGATGCCAATCATAGCAGTAGTGAATCAGATTTAGAACTGGGGTCTAGCAAGGATTTACTGCTCAAGCTCAATGGAGAAGAGAATGTGGAAATATCAGAGCTCATGAGGCTGCATAATCTTGCTGGCCCACCTAGATTTCTCTTCACAATCAACGAAGAGACAAAGGAGGATTTGGAATCTGAGGATGGGAAATCTAGAGGTGATAGAAGTAGAAAAGGGTCAAGAACAAGAAGCTTGAGTGATCTTATTTTGTCTGTAGACACCCCATACCTTTCCCCTTTGCCCTCCCCATCATTAAAGTCTTCACCTTTGAGCTCTTTGGACTCTTACAAACACCATGGATTCAACCCTCTCTTTGAATCATCAACAGAAGCTGAGCTGAGCAGGTTGAGATCTTCTCCCCCTCCAAAGTTCAAGTTTTTAAGGGATGCAGAGGAGAAATTGTTCAGAAGACTTATGGAAGAAGCTGAGAAAAGGGCAGCTAAAAATTGTGGGTCTGCTCAGGATTTTGGGGTTAAATCTACACCCAATTCAACAATGGCAACAGAAGAGAAAGATGGGTCTTTTATAAAACTGGTTGTTGGTAAGAACAAGGAAAACCAGAGAGAGCATCATCACCAAAATCTACCACAAAATCCTCCAAGCTCTTCCAAGGTACTTCCACTGGCTTCTTCTCCTACAATGTTCAAATCCACTTGACAAGAAAAGCCTTTGTGCATTTAGATCTTCATTAATTACATAGAGATCTTTGTTAATTAGTTTTTCAAGAGGATTAATTCTGTATTAATCTTAAGGGTTGAAAGGTTTTTTTATTTTTTTATTTCTTCTTCTTGTTAATAATTTATTGCCATCCTTATTTTCAAGTTTTAGCTCTTGGGCTTTTGGGGAAAGTAAGGTAACCATGAATGGACTGCAACATTTTTGTCTGAGCTTCATTGACAATTCCAGACAGGACTGACAAATTCTACGGAGTGATTAAGGTGTTGGTTAGTTCAAGTGGGGGAACTTGTGGGGTAATCATTCTTGTCCCTTCCTCAAATATCCTCAGGTTTCTTAAGCCAGTAATCATCCATTATCATGAGGTTTTACTCTCGTTCTTTTTTTAACATGGCTTTTCATTCTTCTTACTTAGGTTAATTCTACAATTAGAAGTATAAATACAAAATATTTGCATAATTACCAATTGTGTCATAAATGCCAGAAAAAGGATTCTAGATAGAATCTTTGTTATTAGCATCCAGCTAAGAGGTTAATGTGAACTTGATCATGTTCTTAGGTGCAGTCAAATTCATTCTAGGTCTATTAGGCAAAAGCGGGTGCTGCATATGTTGAAATTTTGTACAACGAATGGGTTCAACCCAAAATGGTCCACAGCTAATCTGCTTTGTGGGTTTTGTTTATTTCCCCTTGTTTTTTAATGGGTAATCTGCTATTTGAATTGGTCTTAAAGGAAACAATTGGATAATGGAGTACCCACTATTGTCAATTACCGCCCTTTCCATTAAAAGAATGTAGGAAAATACACCCTTTGTCAGCTGAATGGCTCAACTTGGTCACTATGTCGTGTGTTTATCTCTTTCATCACGTGTTTTATACTAAACAAGAAAAATTCCTATGATAGAAGTAGTCCTTGGTCCTCGCTCAATACAATTTCATCTTCAAAGGGTACACTTCTGAATGGAACAAAACTAGTTCTAAGAGTAAACTTGACATGTTCTCGTAAACAAAAGTTCTAGGTCAGGGTTGCTTGTATACGCTCTCTTATCACAATCATCCCATCCTTTCACCGCCCGATTTTTGGACTTGGGAAGTAGAGTATCTATCTTATGAAGTGGAGGGATAGTCACTTTACTAAATCTTCAAGCGAGAAATTTAAAGCTTAAAAGGGTAGGTGTCATGATTGTTTGCCTTTAGAGGAAGACTTAGTACTCAACAAAAAGTGATACCGTTTCAAAGCAAGTGCTTGTAGTCGTTGTGAGAGGTCTAGGCTTTTTACCTAAACAAGAAGTAATGTCATTGTTATCACGCGACTTTGCCCAAAAGTTGGTTCAGCAGCTTCAAGTTTCAACTCTCCACTCTCTCTAAATAATAGAATTTCAAATTTTGAATCCTTGTAAACTTGTAAACTCGACAAAAGATAACAAAATCCTCCAACTTGTGGTTTGAATTAGCAAAATCATTACAACTTGAAAACAAAAACGTAGTTCGTTTCCATTCCATGTGGAATGGTAGTAGTGGTCCAAAAAATTCCAAGCTTGTTGTCGATTTGTAGGGGCCATTTGATTTAAACCCTGTGGATGGTGGAGCCCACTTACTTCAACCAAAAAAAAAAAAATTCAATTTCTTGTCGTTTTCTCAGTTTCTGTTTCTCCCAAAACTGTCGTGCAATTTTGGATGATGAACAGAAGCCCAATACAACATTATCTTTTCTAATTTAATCTGAAGAATTGCAAAGGTGGGGCCCAGCCCAATTTTGAACATGGCCAGAATCTGTAGGCCTATCCGAGGGTTGGCTGTCATCATCCTCGTGGGTGGTAAAGGAGACAAACAAAAGCAGACTTGTTCCATGAATATTTAAAAGCAGTTGGTTTTACATACATAAATGAAAAGAATTATAAAGGTTTTGTGGTTTTGTTCTGGATGTGAAACCCACCAGCGATGACAAGGATGAAGAAGCTTACCCAATTTGCTTTTATCCGTAAATTTTGGTATCTGCAAAAAAGTTTGGTTTTTTCGTTGTCCTTTTTCTTTGATGCTCGCACGCAACCATATTTTAATTTAGGGTTTCTTGAGGCAAGTCATGACCAAGAATGAGATTAATGTCACATGGAACAAGACATAACATAAAAACTTACATGGAATGTGTGTCTACACAATTCATCTCATAAAAATTAGTGGTCATGTACTACTCACATGAGCCAATATTGTAAGAGATAATGTGTAAACCCTTACATGTCAAGATGAATCCGAAATTTGCCGATAACTTCAACGATGCTAGTCCATCGTACAACAAAGAAATCTAGTCTTATATTAGAAAAAGAAAAAGAAAAAAGAAATCTAGTCTCACATAACACTACTGGCTCATGTTCGAACCCCCATGACACCGTAGTAGTTTGTGTGAAAACCTCATCCCCTTATAATTTAGACTGTCGCTTATATTAGAAAAAGAAAAAGAAAAAGAAAAAAGAAATCTAGTCTAATGATCAAATTGTTAAGAGAATCTCATAAACACGGGATTTTAAAATGCGGTGGACTCGATTTACCTTATGGGTGGACTGTTAAAACTTTGGGTTGGACCTATATACTAACTACAAGAAGAAGAAAACCTTTCTTAAAACCTTAAAACCTATATACTAACTACAAGAAGAAGAAAAAAAACTCACATGGACTATATAGCCCATGTTAGATATTGATACAGTCCGTTCTTGAATCTCACGTCAAGAATATAAAGTATTGCGTATAATAATAAACGTCTATAACATTTTGAGCATCTTCAACCATTGTTAATTGATTTTGAGTTAGATGATGTAATTTATTTCCAATTTTTTCAAAGATCAAACCCTTATATTTGATGAAATAGTTGCTTATGTTATTGAATTCTAATCATGTGATGCCATTTAGATAAAGCAATTCGACGCCATTTAGATAAAGCAATTCGAATTATGGGGAATTGGCAATCACCCATGTTTCAAGAAATATAATGGTGCCAAATTAGTGGAGTGGTGTTGGAACTTTTGGATTAAAAAGGGTCCATATCCACCAACTTAATTATCGTTTAGGTAGGCACACATCCATCAACTCGATTGAGTGTTGAATGGGAATTTAAATAATTTTAATAGCAGTCATGGGAGTAGAAGATATCTAGTTTGACAAATTTGTACTGGATTTTGATATTCTTCCACTTAGGTATGGTAGAAATTCCCAATGGTAGGGTTTTCATTGGGTCCCTGGTCCTAACGGAGGGGAGATTTCGGGGAAATTTAGGAGCGGGTACGGGCAAATTTTAACAATCCCCTATTGGATATGGGCCGGGGATGGTATTGTTATCCCTATCCCCGAACTCGGGCCGATATAAGTGATAAATTTATTTTTAATTAAAATAAATAAATAATATAATATAACAATTAACTTCTTTCCTCTAAGATACTTGCTGTATTAAGTCTTGAACGGATAATTAATTGTAAATATGCTATTCCAAAAGCAAATGTTTTTTGTGTGTGGTAAATACCAAATTAAAATGTTTCACCTCATTGACTTTTAAGTTTTAACTTGGACGAGGATACAATGGTAGTAAGGTTGTTTTTGGTTTTGCTTACTTTTGCACTGGGATTTTCCTTCAAGTTCAATAAAAATCATACATTCTATTCTCGTACATGGGATATGACTTGGTTACAATTGATTTTGCCTAAATGATATTATAGTATTATGGGGTCAGATTCTTTCTTTTTTGCATATGGCATTCAATTTAATTTCATGCCCATCTCTTGGTCAAAATAAAAATTCCAAGTTGCATGGGATACCTTAATATCATCCAACCAGTTTGTTATTAATTAGGATGCATTTTGTTTGTATCTGTTGACGCCAAAAAGTGGTTCAGGACTTTTGGGGGTCAACTTAGTGATTTTATGCCTTCGGTATCCTGATGGCCTCGGTAGGAAGTGTGATATGCAATATGAGACAAACGCTCGGTAAAACCTAGGGCACCAGTGTGGTACCGGCCGAAGGCTCTCTGATGCTTAACTAAGTTCAGAGTTAGTAAGATTAACTGACAGATCAATTAGGCAGTATGCCGATTGTTCTGATTACCTCTATTTTGGGGTAGTTGGCCTCCTTTATAGGCCTTGGTAGGTGTGCACTTTGTTGATAATTTCGATGTGGGACTGTGGACGTCGATTGTGAGCGTGCCACGTGTCACAGGAGAGGGTGTTGCCCTAATGGAGTGATCGGTAGGCATGGTGCCGAAGGCTTCCCTGACCAGGCTCGATTTCTTCCACGTGTCCTGTTCTTATTGGCTGTTTATTTTGGGTATAAACAGTATCCATTTAATTTTCGTCTAATTTTATTTTTAAATTTCTATGCCTATTTGAAAAAGGCTAGACAAAGGAGCCAATTACCCAAGCCCGAGTTGAATCGGGCCTACTCAGTTTGAGTCAGTCCATAACCATGGGCTTGTAATTATGCACGGCCCAATCATTCGCGTTCAGTCCTGACTCCTGTTTGCGAAGAACTTGGCAATTTCTGCAAAATCACCGACATAAAATTATAGAAAATTTCGAAGTAACAGCAAGCCCTAGAGTGGCACTGTCCGTCTTTAGCTCTATCTCTTTCTGGTTGAAGCCACCGATTCGGTAATTTTCTCCGCGCTTCCTCCATTTCTTGTTCTCTATTTATCATGCTTTCATTTCTGTATTGCCAGAATTGGGTTTTTTTTATTGGTCGAAACCAGAATTGGGTTTGATTTCATTTGTCAAAGAAGAAGTACTGAATAAATGGGTTTTGATTTTTTTATTCGGTTACGATTCAAAGGGCGTTCATTGGTCATCAAATTTGGGAAAAAATGGAATTTTTTGAATTTGATCGAAGTTAATTAGCATTTGCGTTTATTGTTCGTTCTTTTTTACACCGGCTCATTGACACTGCAACTGGGTTAATTTTTGCTTGCTGATTTGGGCTGCAAATGGGTTAAAGTATGCTTGCTGATTTACACTGCAGCTTGGATAATCTGTTTTTGCACGTTTACACTGCAATTGGGTTTTTGTTCATTATTGCTCTGAATCCTCTATCAATATTTGTGCTTGGTGATAACAGTAAGAATATTTGTTTGTGCTATGTTTTGATTTTCAAGCTTTGTAATATTTAATTGAACTTGTTCTGATAGTTTAAGAGAATCCATCTTCTTGGTTTTCACTTGACCTACTCACTTGACCTTTCAAGCTCTGTAACTTCTGCTCTGTGAGCTCGCATGTTTTTTTTAATGTGAACGCTTCAAACCATTATGTTCAAATTAAGTATTGTATTCTATGTATGAGACACACTGGAGTTTGAAAGAATTTTACAATGATGGTAATGCAGCGGCATATGATAGTGCATTTTGCCCATTGAAATACAAGTTCTGTCAGGGCTTGTACCTTATATACACATTGGGTCGTCGCTATTTTCATTTATTTTATCTTTTTCCAATCCCTTGCAAGGTCAAGTGAGTAGGCTAAAGCTATGATGAATGTGCTTTTTACATTTGGATAAGTATACAAATTACATCTGTAAAACTATGCTTTAATGATGGCTGTATGAGATCCCTTACTGATATTACTTGTCAATATTCTAAAGTTTGTATTTTTGTAGGTTAATTAATTATTTGGTTTTACACGGGTAAACAATATTATTCTATATTCATTGTCAAATAAGGAGCTCTGGTAACTCTATAATAGATTTGATTGTGAGAGTTTTGTAGGGATAATAAATCTGGAAGATGAAGGAAGAATTTTTTTGTGCCACACGATTAAAATGAGTAAAAATCTTTTGGTGCCACACAATTGAATTGAATCTGAATTCTTTATTGTGTGCCTTAGAATTCTGGTATCAGTTTATTTCTAAGCTTTAGATTCTAAAAAATTCCTTAGATCCCAAACTCCTGTTTTGGACTTTTTATCGTATAACAGACATAAAGGATAAGTCACAAAATTAGTAGTGTTTGCAGTGTTCTCTTTATTGTAGCTTTCCTCATGATGTGTTCCATCGTATTTGCTACTGGATTATTCCAACCCTTCTTTCAAGAGTTGAGTGAGCCTAACAGTTTCTTGCAGGGATAGGTATTGTTTGAATCAAAGAATGGGTCGGAAAGCTGGCACTGTATATCTTAATCCAAAGAAATTTGGCGCTCTTCACAAACCTTGCATGAAGGATATGCTAGCATTTCTCAACTGCTTGGCTCTTAACCATAACAATGATGACAAGTGTGCAAGGCAGAAGGAACTTTTGGGTACTTGCATGGATGCTCAGGTAGATTTTCATTGTTCTGTCTCTGGATTCTGCATCTTCATAGTTTCTTTTCCATATGTCATTCTTAATACTTAAAGTCTACCCCTTATTTCAATTGACTAACTTTTTTCAATGACTGTGCCCTAATGTGTCTGACTCCTTTGCTACAGAGAAACAAAAACAGAAAGTCAATGGGAAGCATCAATTACCACTTGCAGAGGTTAAGCAGGGGAAGGAAGTAGTTTGGGTTTTTGTAGAGACAAAGGTTAAATTGAGGTATGATTTTTGGAATCATCAGTGACACAGGCTTAGTATGGAAGCTGTTCTATTGTAACACCTAGAGAATGTTCACATATAGTTTCCCTGTTTGATTCAATAGTTATGGAAAATTCTCGACATTATTTTGAACATTTATGTTGCAGTTAATTTGATATAAGGAAGTTTTCCAGTAATATGTAAACCTGAGTCTTTCCTTGAGTAGAATGAAGGCTTAAGTTTTTAATTTATTTTATAGTCTGACGTGTTACTACTACTAGAAACTACAGTAAACCACAATATATGATTCCAACATGCATCTGAATTGGCTCAACATTCTTCTCATGTGGGTGCATTCTGATGATCATAGTAACACAACCGCCACTGTGAAAGTCGAGCCATTTCAACATACGTCGGTTGTGTTCGTGCTATGGTTTGGTGTTCCCTTTGTATCTAAGTGTAGTTATCAGTAATAAAAAGAGAGAATTGGTAATGGAGGGGGTTGAAGGATGAGAGGGTGTGAGAAAGGTTGAAAGATAATGTATACATAAAGAGACATAAGAGGATAATATAAAGGTTATAAGCGTTTCATTCCCAATATTTTCAAGAGGCTTCTTCTCCAATATTTTCCTTCATGCATGAAAAGGTTGACTACCATGAACATTGTTTATGCATTATCTCAAAACACAAAACTTCTGAATTGTACCAGACATCAAGATTGCAAATATAAAAATGCTGGATAGAAAAATTGGAAACTAAGAAATGAACTCACCCAACCCGCTCAGTGGCCGGAGTTGGAACATATTATGCTCGTGGTTTGGAACATATTAGCATTAAATCATTAGTTTGGTTGAGCCAACCGGGATCAGCCACAAACTATTTATTTAGTCCTCAGCATGACCCTATTTTCCTCAGGCACCTAGAATTTGAAAATAAAGAACATAACATTTGGTAGCAACAAGAAATTCAGGTTGCTCGAATCGATTATTAAATCATAGGTCAAGAGCTTAGGAAGGAAAATGATAAAAACTGAAATTCATAATCTCTAGCACAAATCAAAACTAAATTCTCAAACATATTCCAGCTACATACTATGACTACCCTAAACCAAAAAGAGAAACTCATGGAATGAAAGAAATTTATCTTAGTCAACTTCCTCGATCTTAGGTCCTGCACCGCTTGCAGCAGGAGGAGGAGCATCATCATCTACGCCTCCCCCACCTGTCTCGGCACCAGCACCCTGATACATCTTGGCAATGATGGGGTTGCAGAGGTTTTCAAGCTCCTTCATCTTATCCTCAAACTCATCACATTCAGCGAGCTGGTTCCCATCAAGCCACTGAATGGCATCTTCAACAGAATCCTCAATTTTCTTCTTGTCCGCTGGGTTGAGCTTCGAACCGATCTTTTCATCTCTCACTGTGTTCCTCATGTTGTATGCATAGTTTTCTAATGCATTCTTAGCCTCCACTTTCTTCTTATGATCCTCATCCTCTGATTTGTACTTCTCTGCCTCCTGGACCATATTCTCGATTTCCTCCTTGGACAACCTGCCTTTGTCATTGGTGATTGTGATCTTGTTCTTCTGCCCCGTGGTTTTGTCCTCAGCAGCGACATTCAAAATTCCATTGGCATCGATATCAAAACAAACAGTGATCTGAGGCACACCCCTAGGAGCAGGAGGGATGCCTGAGAGCTCAAACTTACCCAACAAGTTGTTGTCTCTGGTTCTTGTTCTTTCACCCTCATAGACCTGAATCAACACACCGGGTTGGTTATCCGAGTAAGTCGAGAAAACTTGTTCCTTCTTGGTGGGAATGGTAGTGTTTCTCGGAATAAGAACAGTCATAACTCCACCAGCGGTCTCCAATCCGAGGGAAAGTGGAGTGACATCCAACAAGAGCAAGTCCTGCACCTTCTCATTGCCCTCACCACTCAAAATAGCAGCTTGCACGGCGGCGCCATAGGCAACTGCTTCATCAGGGTTGATGCTCTTGCAGAGCTCCTTACCGTTAAAGAAGTCCTGCAATAGCTGCTGTACCTTGGGAATTCTAGTAGAACCTCCAACAAGAACAACATCATGGACAGTGCTCTTGTCCATTTTAGCATCCCTCAAACACTTCTCCACAGGCTCCATACACTTTCTAAAGAGATCCATGTTGAGCTCCTCAAATCTTGCTCTGGTTATTGTGGAGTAAAAATCAATACCCTCAAACAGAGAATCAATCTCAATGGTGGTTTGAGCAGTAGAGGAAAGAGTCCTCTTTGCTCTCTCACAAGATGTTCTTAATCTCCGCAGTGCCCTGGGGTTATTGCTAATGTCCTTTTTGTTCTTCCTCTTGAACTCCTGTACAAAATGGTTCACCATTCTGTTATCAAAATCTTCACCCCCAAGGTGGGTATCTCCGGCAGTAGACTTCACCTCAAAAATGCCCTCTTCGATCGTCAGAAGAGAAACATCGAAAGTGCCACCACCAAGGTCAAAGATGAGGACATTCTTCTCACCAACACTTGTGGCTTTCTTGTCAAGACCATATGCAATGGCAGCTGCGGTTGGCTCATTAATGATACGCATAACGTTCATGCCTGCAATCACACCGGCGTCCTTCGTGGCCTGGCGTTGAGAGTCATTGAAGTATGCCGGGACAGTGACAACAGCGTTCTTCACGGCCGAACCAAGGTAAGCTTCAGCGATTTCACGCATCTTCGTGAGAACCATAGACGATATCTCCTCAGCAGCAAACTGCTTCTCTTCGCCCTTGTAGTTCACCACAATGGTTGGCTTGTCCCCGGCGCCAGGAATGACCTTGAAAGGCCATAACTTCATGTCACTCTGGATAGAGGCATCACTGAATCTCCTGCCGATCAAACGCTTCGCATCTAACACAGTGCAAACAAAAGTTTAAGAGATTAGAGCCGCATATCAAAACCATTAAAAAAACTAAATTTTATTTATAACTAAAACATTGCAAGGGAAAAAACTTAATTCAAGCATAAAGATGACAAACATCATCGATACAATCTCAACAGTAGTAAAGGGAGGAGAGGAACCCCTCCATTAATAAATTACTAGATCTCGTATACACATCCGTATGTGATCAACAATACAACCAATGATAAATTAGTTATTTGATATTGGCTTATTAATTAAATCAAACCAAATCACAATGGCTTATTTAACAATAACTTAAATCTTTCTATCAGAGAAAAAAAAAACTAATCAAAACACCAAATATTTACAAGGATTCATACAAATAAATCATGTTAAGCCACATCGAACAAAACCAAATCAAACACGTGATCTGCAAAGACACATGCATATGCACACACGTAGAATCAAAAGAAACGAAACCACGCAGAAACGACGTTGCTTTTAGATTTAGAGAGATTGATTGAAAAACACGAAAACTCACCGAAGACAGTGTTGATGGGGTTCATGGCTACCTGGTTCTTGGCGGAATCGCCGATCAAACGCTCAGTGTCCGTAAACCCGACATAGGACGGCGTCGTTCTGTTGCCCTGGTCATTGGCTATGATCTCAACGCGATCGTGTTGCCATACGCCGACGCAGGAGTAGGTGGTTCCGAGATCGATACCGATGGCGGGGCCCTCGCCTTTGGCAGCCATTGAAGAAAGCTTGAAACTGGTGCTTGTTTTGTTTGTGTGAATGTGAGTGCGTGGTATGAGGTGAATTGGTTAGGGAGGTGAAGTGAGGAGGTAGTTATATATATAGACGGAGTTTCCAGAAGCTTCTAGACCGAGTTTGTGTGGGATTTCATAGACCGAGTTTCCAGAAGCTTCTTCCTCCAACCGTTTCCATATTTTATAGAGAACGTGTTTGACAGTGTAAAAGGGGAACCAGTTCTTTCTCTGAAAAATATGGAGGAGGTTATTCTATAGATTTGGAATTCACGTATCCCTCAATGATTTGGCTCCATTAAAGATTTTAAGTTAAGGACTTCTTCTAATCTTAGCAATTAGATTGCATATGTGGTATATTTTCTTAAAATTATTTAAACCACTAACATATCTAATGGATTGCTGAGATTAATTAGAACTCCCTAAGTAATTTTTAACAGAAATCCTTATTGGAAAAACTCCCTTTTTCAATTAATTTTTTTTTTTTATAAAAAAAATACAAGACTACGAGGGGTAGAGGGGTTTCTCACACACATTACCAAAGTGTCATTGAGAGTGTTGTGGTTTCACTAGTAAAAAAGTGGCAACAATCACCATTATTTGGTGACATTTGTAGCCGTGACAAAATGCATTAGTCACTTTTTTTTTGACTTTTTTGATGACTGAAAAGGCTTTTAGTCATTTTTTTAAATACATTTTTTGGTGACTAAAGCCCCACAACAATCAAAAAATGTTGCCAAATAATGGTGACCGTTGCCACTTTTTTTTGTAGTGTTTCTCACATATTTTGAAATGACTTATTATGTGTTAGAAAACGCACATGAAGTCTTAAATTAGAATAATATTCTCTAATACTCATTCTAGCTAAGAAACCATATATCACCAAATTTTGCAAGGGGTTTGTGATAGAACTCAAGAAAAGAAAAAAAAAAAATCATAACCGGACTATAGCTAAATAAATAGAGAATAATTTTGTAGCAGCTAGCCACTTCAAGATTAATTAACTAAAAAAACATATTAACTATATCTATTCTACCAAAACTTAGCTAAAGAGAGAGTAATAAACGATCGAGATAGCTAAATAGAGAGTAATAAACGATCTATTCTACACCAGATACTCCTATTTGGAAGCATACTACCAATGACTCTTTTAGTGTTAAATCAGCATATATGGCATTGTCGGGAGTTTTCAAGTATGGATGTTTGCTGGGCTTTTATATGGAACATTAAGGCTCCCCCCAAAATTAAATATTTCCTTTGGTTGCTGCACCAAGATAAACTCTTAACAAATGATCAAAGACTTAAAAGGAAGATGACCTTGATTGCCAATTGCGATATTTGTGGTGCCCCAATAGAGAATGTGGCTCATATTGTACGGAATTGCCCAATGGCAATTTCAGTTTGGCATCAGTCCCTTATGCCTATGAATCTGAGTTTGCTGCAGGCTATTGATCTTCATACTTGGGTTGCAAAAAATTTACACAACTACACAATTTTGGCTTATGGAGTGGAGTGGTCAACCATGTTTGCTTTCACGTGCTGGTTTCTTTGGAAATGGAGGAACAAAATTTTTTTTGATCATGGGTTTGTGTTTCCGAACAACCCCAGACACGTCATCCTTATGGCTGCTGCAGATTGGACACATGCCAATATTGAAAAAACTAGGAAACCCACCCGCTTCCTTGCTGCGCTCTCTTGGCAATATCCGAATGAAGGAGTGATTAAAATCAATACCGACAGGTGCAGAAAAGGTGAGGATGGATGCATTGCTGCTGGGGGTGTACTAAGAGATAGTTCTAGGTAGTGGATGAGAGGCTTTGCTATTCATCTTGGTGTAGGACAAGTCTTGGAAGCTGAGTTATGGGGCATCTATCTTGGACTGAAAATTGCTTGGGATATAGGTTGCAGTGCAGTTGTGCTTGAGTCTAACTCAGCGTTCGCGGTACACCTGCTAAACAAAAATGTGGAAGACCTTCATCCTCTTGCTGCTATGTTGTGGGGATGACAAGACTATATAAACAAAAATTGGGTTTGTTCTATTCATCATGTATATCGTGAGTGCAATATGGTGGCGGATAGATTAGCTGAATTGGGTTCATGTCTTGAGTTGGGTCTATCAACCTTCCATGATCCTCCTGATAATATTAGGTCTTTACTTAGTAAAGTTTTACTTAGCCTCTATAGGCCTCAAGCCATTGTTTAATTTCTTTGTTGGGCGTTAGCCCCGTTTCTTCACACAAAAAAAAAACGATCGAGCTTTGCATAACCGCTAGCCTCATATATTTTATTATGCTCCTTATCCGCAGCAATATTTTCAATTTCCTCCTGGGATAATCTCTCATAATTGTTGATTGTGAGTATATTCTTCCGCCCAATGGTTTCATTGAAAAATCCGTCGGCGTCAATATTGTAGCAGATGGTGACCTGAGGCACTCGCTGGGGAGCAGGAGGGATGCCTGAGGTCGTGTCTTCAAATCACTTCCCCTAATAATACTTTTATGTGCATGTCTATATCCTAGAAACACTGGTATGTGTAACAGATGTGCACATAAAAGTAGGAGGGAGTTGGCTGGGACATAAAATTAAGGACGTGATAACATCTCCAATATGCTAAGACCGAAATTCGAAATTCGTGTCTAAATATAATAAGATTTAGGACTCAATAGTTTTGGAACCAAATCTGAGAATTTGAGATGGCCTTAACTTACAAATAATAAGATTATGAATATTTTACTTTTTTTTTTTTTTTGGTTACCAATAATTAAGGCTGCAAGTCAATGCTTTTTTCTACTAGGTTAGACATGTTGGCAAGCAATTTTAATGATTGATTGACCGCATCTAAGAACATTATGGTAACTTCATCCTATTTATGTTAAACTTGCCTTACTCTCTTTAACCTCTATCCCATTTTTTTCTCTTTCTCTCTCTCCTCTCAAACACAAATATTGTGCATCAAGTGAATATATATCGATTCCATGGAGCGACACACAATAGTAGTGGGATATGTCATTGTATATATGCCTCTTTTTCTCAAGGTTTTCATTCCAATCCACCTTCCTCTCAGGGCATTGCGGTAGCTTTCATTCCTTGCCAATGCACCCTTTCTCATAAAAAGGGGAATTTATTCTGCTCATATCATATATATAAATGTTGTAGTAGTAGAGGAGAGAAATTAAGGAAAGGGATGCCGAGTCTAGTAGCGTGGGCTTGTAACTAAGCAAGGTATTAAGGTGATTGGTTGCTTGGTGTGAGATATTCACCTTTGACCCCGAGTGGGTGAACTCGCACAAAGCACGCCCTTTAACCTTGGGTTAGTAGGTCTCCCAACTACAAAGGTTGGGTAGCAAACCTCAAATTAAGGAAAGGGATGAATAATCAGTTTGACAAAAGTCTAAGTTTCTAGGTTTTCTCTAGAATACGCTAGTTTTAGTCGGCTTGTTGGCGCCGTCGACAGTTTTTGTTTTAAACCCTTCTTTCCCCGGTGGGCGGGCAGAGAGCGTATGGTTACTCAAAGTCTGTGGAAGTTCTCTACCTTGGTGTGGAAAGGTGCTGGACTGTGTCAGATGGAAGAGTTTGCATCGGAGTTTGCTACAAAGTTTGCTCTTACGGAGGATGAGCAATGAGAGTTGGTTGTTGAGCGGGGTTCTATGCACTCGTTGCAAACGACAAACTTCTTGCTCGTTGGGAAGTTGCTCACCCAAAAGCCGTTTAATGGTGAGGCGCTCATGCGTACGATGATGGCTCTGTGGCGGCCAAAAGGTTGCAGAGAGGCCAGACCCGCCAGGAAAAAAGAAATCTAAAAAAAAAAAAACGCCATTCAGGTTTTCGAAAACAAGGGCGGCTGTATTCATTTTTAATTGATTATATTATTTATAAAGTGTAGCCGCTGGCTATACTCATTAAATTTACTATTTAAATAGTATAACCGCGCGGCTATACTCTTTTGATATATTATTCACAGCTTATAGCCCTTAAAATATATTATTTCAAGCGGGTTAATCGTTTATTAGTCCATGAACTTAGATCCGATTTGCATTTGAGTACCGCAATTTCCAAAATGGTTCCCGTGGTCCCTTAACTTCACTTTCCTATGACAAATGGTCATGTCGTCAATTTGGTTAACTTTTTCTGTGAAATACAAGGGCAAAATGGTATTTTTATATTAAAACCAAAAAAATGAATAAAAATCATATCTTTAAAATAACAATAAAAGAAAATCAAATAAAAAACCAACAAAAAAAAAATCAAGTTTTGGGGGAGTAGAAATCGGGACAAAGGTGGGGGAGAGAGAGTTTAATTTTAATTTTTTAGTTTTTAAAATTTTTTATTCATATTTTAATCAATTTTGATATTAAAATACCATTTTTGCCCATGCATTTAGCAGAAAAGTTAACAAAATTGACGGCTGGACTATTTGTCCTAACGAGACTGAAGTTAAAAGACTACGGGAACCATTTTGGAAATTGAAGTACTCAAATGCAAATCGGGTCTAAATTCAGGGACTAATAAAACGATTAACCCTATTTCAAGCAGATACTCCAGCATGCACATATCCGAACCCAAGCAGATTCTTTTGTGTTAGTTGGTTAATCTTAATCAATCATCAAAGTTCTTTTTTCTTGTGATTTTTTTTGTGTGTGTATGCGCCACCTGACAAGCCCACAACAAAGTACATGTAGCAATCCAATGGCTGTTTTCAACTGGGCTGGTTGCACATATTAATTATTAATTCTTTTTGTAAGTCATATATGAAACAAATGTGAATGTGCTCAGAAATAGGCAAAATTTATTTTTCTAAAATTTCAATTATGTTTATGTCAAAATGTTCAGGAAAATAAATCACGGAATTATAAACAAAAATTAACCACAAAAAAAAATATAGAGTTAAACCATTCTTTAACAATTTAATATGGATGTGGGGTTAAATTTTGAGTCAGGCAATACATGAATAATTGTATTTTGGAGGGTGAAACTTTAAGTTTAGCCCCGAATGAGTTGGAGAATGCCTAAGCATGGGAACATCTAATATTTAAGTTTCAGATTTTGCCCTTAAAATGTTTCGGTAGCTTCTCATTAGCTTTGTCTTTGGCAATGCAAATATCAAGGCTGGTCTACACAAATGCTGGTGATGCCATTTCGGTGTATCCACTTGTTATGGCGGCGCATCCACGAAATGCAGCCCAGTTTGTTGTGGGGCTCTCCAATGGCGAGCTCCATGTCCTTGAGCATCTAGAAGATGAAGATGAATAAGGTATTTTTGCCGTTGGTTGACTTGGTAGCAAGTTGGAGAGTTGCGAGCCTGTGGAATCCGAGGGCATCGTCCTTGGCTTGTGATCTCTAGAAAAGATAGGCCTAAACATAATAATAACTCATCTCTAGATAATGTATGCTATGTAGTTTAGGCATTTTCGGCAGCAAATTTTATAAATCTAAAATCAATAATGTTATGGATCCTCAACAAAATAAATTCAGAAGTTTCTTGGAACATTTACAGCCATTATTTCTTTTAAGTTTCAACTATTCTTTCTTGCGCACTTGGTCTCTCTCTATGATGATCTTGACCACATTTCAACAGTCATTTTTGAGCCAAAACTCACCAATCTCTCTTTCACAATTTCATTCTGGTCAAGCCAAAAATTATAGACGACGAAGAAGAAAAGAGTGGAGACGATTGATCGGGATCATTAGTTATAAGTTTAGGCTCGAGTGGGATTGAATCTCTAAGAGAAATTAAAGATAACCCTATACATGATCTGATATGCAACTAATAAGAAATCAGAGGGCATCCATTATTAATGTCAATCTACAAGCAGGGGAACCCTATGAGGGTTCATGAAATGCAAATTTACTTGAGTTACACATTACGGTCAATTTGACGAGAATTAAATTGCTGGATGTCTCAAAGGAGAATACATCTTCAAGCATCTACCTTTGCTGCCGCAGATGCATAACTTACGTTGCTGTCCCTCACAGTTTCGCACTGACTCGATTGCTCATATCGGAGAAATTTGATCTTTATGCTATTCTCAAGTCTCCATTAAGGTTGCACCAAATTTCAGTTTGTATATTTGTTTATCCAAAAGGATCCCAAAAATCTGCTTCAAATATTTGTTCTGTAGACAAGTTCATATAATTCCAAATGTATACACTTGTATAAAACACCTATGTAATTTGAATATGAACTGTACGCCATACGACTAATTGCATTGAAAAGCCAATCAAAGGATTTAGCAGAAATAACCAGATTCAAAATTAAATCTTTCTAAACCTCAAACAGTATTTCTTTGGTCTATAGGATTAACTTCTCGTAACCAGCATTAGTAAAGCAGGGCAATTTCTAGTCTTATCAAACTCATGAGATCAGAAGTCACATAAACTGACTACCAACACCTCAACTACAAATATTTCTTATAAACTCTAACTCTGAGCCTGCATTCTATACAAATAACTAACACTGCATTCTATAATGCATTAAGTCACCAAACATACATGCCAGCTGAAAAACAGGAGGAAAAGTTAGATTTCTCCTCTCTTTCCTTTGGAATATTTTGTTTAACAAACCAAATTAAACAAATTGGAAGCAAAAAAATTGTGTGATGGATGGATTAATTTCCTAACTTTTTCCCTATTACTCTTAACTTTCCAAGCTCTACAAGCAGAGTTAAAATGGCCTCACACATTTCTGAGGCATCAGCATCACTAGGATTCTTTTTCCTTGTGGAATAAACCATCCAGGCATGGTCAAAGCTTCCTGTCCGGCGTGACCACAACCGAACCTGGAACTTGAGCGTCACGGCACGTCACCAATCCGTCACTCTTCTCCCCGTACCTGAGTTGTAGATGAAGTGCAGTCACAGCCATTGCAGCAGATGAAGGAATCACTACAGGCAGCTGGCGTCCTGCTTGAACGATTTCATCTGACTCTTCTTGAGTTAAAAAATTTGGTAGGGGCAGCCAGGGAAGTTTGGCATGTGCTATATGTGTCATTGTGGCAAACATATCAGGGGCTATGCTTGCCTCAGAGTGGAAGGAAACCAGAGGAATTTGCTCATATGGCAGCTTGTGCTTCATGATGAACTCCTTTTGCTTCTCATAAGTAAGATCCTCCAGTGCCTGAATGTCACCCTACAATGCAAATATGAATTGAGATGTTTCCAAACACAACTTATAATTCTCCACTTGTTTAGTACATACACAAAGGACTTTCAACAAGCTCAGGCATTGGTGCTATTACCTTAATTAGCTTGCATATCAAAAGTTCCATGATCATGCGGGTTTCTTTGTCTGCAATCTGGCCTTCACGAAGAATATCAGAAGCCAAGGGAGTGCCACCATAGGGGCTCTGTACCAGTGCTAAACCAGCAACTTTGTCTTTCAAATCACAACAGCAGATTGACAACGCAGCTGCAGCATCAACGCCACCCTTGCTGTGCCCCAGCGGCATCACATGCTTACCGGATCCCCAGTAAAGCCTGATGTAGAACAGATGGCAGATTTTATCGTGGCAGGTTTTATCGGGGTTGAGCAAGGAAAAGGACGTGGTGGGAATTTGCAGAATTGTCGTCCGAGCTCCGATTAGGGCGCAAAATACCTTTTCGGAAAGGGAACGATGCCACGAGTCAAACTCACAGCTTTGCTGTGATGTATGATGGATTTTGGCATTCTGAGGTCGTTTGGCCTTCCAAAACCGCATTCAAAGTTTCGTAGTTAATTTTCGGAATAAATTCTGTTTTTCAGTTTTAATGTAATAACTCCCCTAGCAGTTACAAGGGTTGAGAGTTGTGTATTTAGGCAGGTTTGTCTAACGTTTTTGTACACTTCAGATTTTAATACAATTAATCAAAGAGAGTTTCTCTTAATTTTCTGGTGGAATCCAGTTCCCTTGTTACTCAAGGTTTTCGTTTGAAACCTTTATTGCTTGTGCTGCGTCAGCTAGACCCATCTTCGAAAAGAATTTCTTTGTTCCAACAAAGTATACGGGGTCGTGATTGCTATAGAGGTCTGGAAAATCAAAGTTCCCATAACTAAAGGTGCCACGACACTAAATGTGGATTGAACAGGGGAGAAGAACAAAGTCCAAAGAGAAAAATAAATTTTCTTTACCTGGAATAAGCAGATAGACAAATGAGCTAGGCAATGTGTGCTCCCCATTCCTGAAGTATATAGCATGACATACAAGCAATAGGAATATACAAGAATAGACTAAACAGATATGATAACAAAATTGAACACAGTTCCTTAACAGGTCCAACCATCTAGTGCAGTGGAGCTATTATATTAGCTTGGTACCTTATTCCTGCAAGCAATTCCAAGAATCTTGCTGTACCATCCTCCACACCAGGCATGCCAGGAGTGCGCGGCAACCATCCATTATCGTCAGATGAACCTTGCAATTTTTCTGTACTCGAGATGCAAGGCTGACAAATGCAAAAATGAAGCTCAACTATGTGAACCTAAAAGAATCAAACAATCACTTGTAATTAAAAGCAATGAATTATTTGCACCGAGTAAAACAGAATCAAATCT